GGCATTCTCTATTTGAGCCCCACTACCAGATTATCTGATAGCGTGGTTCGCCTTTCAATTCATCCCACCATAGCACTGCAGCCCTGCTTTTCCATCGCAAGGGTGAATGTTTCTCATGGTTTTACAGTACCTATTCTCAAGCGTATTTACAATGCGAAGTCGCCTCCACATGTCCATTCGGACTGAACTTCTCTCTCACTATAATACTGGGAACCATTCTGATTTCATCAAACTACATCTGGTCTCAGATCATCTTAACAGTCCCTCATTCTCACTCTAGATGCTTTGTTTGAAGAGCCATATAGCTAGTTTCAGCTTTTACAGTTTCCACAGACCCATTTTTTTCAGGGGTACGTTCTGATCAAGGCTTTTCCCCTGAACGGCTGATGAGTACTGAATGATCATCAGATTGATGGCATCCAAACTCACCTGCAAAGATGAGCTGGGTGGTTGATGTTGCTGATGCTGCATAGCGAGCGCCATCTGGGAAACAAGACTATTCCGTGGTGGAGCAAGGCCAGTGCCGGTGGTCGCTGTGAAGGCACTCGCCACATGCTCGTCGTCCGTCTCATCGGGTGGTAGTAACCTGCAATTGTAACCTCAAACCTCTGCAAATCACTTCATGAAGACATATTCGTACCCTTTGAGGTTCTTCTCCAGCGAGCCGTTGGGTTTGTTCTCTTGTTCACCAGCTTTTTCGGCAATCTCCTTCAATCGCTCCGAGCAGAATGCGTTCAGCGAGAAGGCGCTCTTTGCTGACGGTTGCAGTCCCTTTGCTAGAGCTGAAAGCGAACAGTGGAGACTTCACATGACTCTGTCCCCAACTACCTCGAAGTCTTGTGAGACAACACGACGAAGGCGATGCGGTACAGTCATCTGGAGCCAAAGCGAAGCAATTGTTAGCTCACACTACCATTTTTATCATCTCTGTATACAGATGAGAGCATGATCGTCGACTCAGCTGATGTAACTGGTGAACTGTTTGACGTGCATGAGACGTCGCCCTCATCCGGCAGATCCTCCTGAAAGTGCCAAGCTTCAAACGATAGTTCGGCAGAATGAATTACTGTAACTGAAAAAAGAAAGGTCCGCGATGACCTATGAAAGTGCAAAAGGCTATGTGGGGAGGGTGGTGTGTTTCGTTATGGAACACCCCTTTCCAGCTTCCTGGCGGAAAGTTGTAAGGTAAAGGAATTGGGGTGCAAAGTTGCTCCAGTGGCACCTCCCTTCTCCCAGTGGCCCCGCCTCCAGACTCCCCCTCAAAGCTCATTCCGGCCAAAAGCGTTGCTACCGGACAAGTAACATAAGATGGGCGTTCCTTTGTCTCCTAAAGGCAGTTGGCACGATAAATCCCCCAAGACGAGTAGGATTAATGC